CAGGCCAGCTGGCTCCAGGGAGCCCCTGTTTAAAAAAGCCCAAAAAAAAAAAAAACAAAACAAAACAAAAACAAAAACAAAAAAAAAGAAAAACAACCCTTTCTGGAGCTGAGTGTGTATCTTGGTGGTAGAGTCCTTGCCTTGCATGCACAGGCCAACAATCAGTTCTAGTCCCCAAACAAACAAACAAAATGAAGCAATGACAAGCTGTTTCTCATTTGGAGATATATTTTTATTTTTTGAAAACTTACTTCTTTGGTCTTTTCCTAGAATTGTCTCAGTTTTTCTTCCTCTTTAAAAAAAAATATTTATTATTTTTATTTTATATGTATGCGTGTATTGCCTACATGTAGGTAAGCACACCCGTGTCATGCACTGCCCGTGGAGGACAGAAGAGGCTGTCGGATCCCCTGGAACTGGAGTAATGGGGGCTAGATCTTGAGGGTCCACATGAACCATCTGAGTTTTGAATGTGTAGATTTTAGACCTAGTCAAAATATTTTTCTGCTATGGAATTTGATTACTAGATTTTGTTTTTCAGAACTTGCAGTTGCCCAGTAGAGGGCAGCAACCCCCTGTCTAGAGGATAATATAACTGAATGAGTATGTTAAGAGTTTATACTAAATACTTGTGTTCTGCCCTCTCAAAAAAACCCTCTACTTCTGGTTCTTTCACTTTCTTTTTTCCTAGTTTGTGTCCATAAGCCCCTTCTCTATCGACCCAAAGTTTAAAGCCAGGTCTATCGGCAATCAAGCTTAAGTTCCTACTTAACAGTAGTATTTCTGTTCTTTCCTCATTAAAACAAACACTAGACTGTTTGGGTTACTTTTTTTAAATATTTTTTTATTATTTTTATGTGTATGAGTGCCTGCATGTATGTAAGTGCTTCCATGTTGTGCAATGCCCATGGAAGTTAAAAGAGGGTGTTGGATCCTCTGGAACTGGCATTAACGATGGTTGTTAGCCACCATGTGGGTCCTGGGAACTGAACCCAGATCCTCTGCAAAGACCAGTGCTTTTAACCACTGAGCCATCTCTCTAGCCCCTGGGTTACTTTTTATATAAGAATATCTGTTTCTAAGTCTACCAAAAAGGAAGGGACATTTTAACATACCAAGATTGTATTTTTGGATTTTGTTTATATTAAAGCTCATGTGGAAATAGTAGTGTTTAGGTACAATTTACCACATCATTTATTTTTCATTCTCAGCAAGCCTTTGGGGATGTGACTATGACTCTTTTCCCACAAATGAAATGATTTCTGTCCCTTTAAGCATGGAGTGTTATTTCTGAGACCTACAGTGTATGTACAGACAGTATTCTACTGCTTTTCTCTAGATAAATACTGGCTTTCATTTGTTCATGAGTGTGTGTGTGTGTGTGTGAGTGTGTGTGTAAGTGAGAGTTTGTGTGTGTGTATGAGAGTGAGTGTGTGTGTGTGGTGTGAGAGTGTGAGTGTGTGTGTGTGCAAGTGAGTGTGTGTGTGAGTGTGTGTGTGTATGTGTTGCATAATTGTGGGTGTGCACCCATGATTTCTTATGTGGAGGCCAGAGGAGGCAGGGTATCTATTGTTTTCCACTGTATTGCCTTGAGACAGGGTCTCTCAGAGAACTGGAAGCTTGCCATCTCAGCAAGCCTGGCTGGCCAGCGAGCTCTTAAAATCTGCTTATCTTTGCTTCCCAGTGCTAGAATTGCAAGCATGCACAGCCATGTCCGGCTTTTGTACTGGGTATTTGAACCCTGGTCCTCATTCTTGCACAGCAAGCACTATTACCCGTTGCCATATCCCCAGCTCCATCCCCCACCACCTTTATTTTTTTTAATTTTATGTGTATGCATGTATTGTAAGTGTGTATATGTAAATGCACCCATGTCGTGCAGTGCCCATGGAGGTCAGAAGAGGGTGTCAGATATCGTTGAACTGGAGTTACAGATAGTTTTTAGCCACCATGTGGGTGCTGGGAACCTAACCTGGGTCCTTTGTAAGAGCAACTAGTGCTCTTAGCTGCTGAGCCATCTGTCCAGCCCCCTACTTTTTTTTTTTTTCCTAAGACAAAATCTCATACAGCCCAGGTTGGCCTTGACTCACTCTGCAGTCAAAGATGGTCTTGAACTTCTGAACCTTCTGCCTCCATCTCCCAAGTAAAGAAATTACAGGCATGTGCCATGACACTTGGCTTTAGATACTGACTTTGTGTAAGTATACAGACATTCATTCCTCATGTACCAGGTGCCTGGTAACATGTCTTCAGATATGTGGGTTTTGATTGTTTTAGAAAGTGCCATTTGAGAAGTTGACTGCTTTATTCTTTTTCTGGTAAATAGTTCCTTATTATTGAGTGCAGAAATCTGGATGGTCATTTTTTTCTGAATGATCTTGTCTGTAACACCTTGTCTACAGTCTTGGGATTCTGACCTTGTTGTTCGTGTCCCATCTAGTGGTATTAACTTGCTCATGATTCTTTCTTGATCTCTCTAGGCACCAGAGTTTCCTGAATTCAACACTCAAGTGCAGGAAGCCATCAATTCGCTGGGGGGCAGTGTCTTTCCTAAACTTAACTGGAGTGCTCCAAGGGTAGGGACACATAAGTAACTCTCCTGTTATTTGAGTAATCTTTGGCTCTTCATTTAATTTTATATCCCCATGGGGGATCTAAATATATTCCTAATTCCTGGAAAAATACTTTGGAATTTATATTTTTCCTCTGTTGATTTTCTGATTTTGCTACATAGACTTACCTAGGTCTGTGAAATACTGTGTATTCGACCAAAGGACATTTTGATCTCTTGTGTTTCAGATTGTGTTAGAAAAAGTCTCAGGAAGTGCACTGTATCTTCCCTTTTCAAAACTTTCAACTGTTCAGTTGAACCAAATTTTCTGTGTTGGAAAGTAGTAATAAAAATGTTGGGCTGAGGACTGGAGAGATGGCTCACCGGTTAAGAACACTGGTTATTCTTGCATAAGACCCAGGTTCAAATCCCAACACCCACATGGCAGCTAACAACTGTCCGTAACTCCAGTTCCAGGGGATCTGACAGCCTCTTCTGTCTTCCGCAGGCATTGGACAACACGGGTGCACTTACACACATGCAGGCAATACACGCATACACATAAAATAAAAGTAATAATAAAAAGTTGGGCTGGAGAGATAAAGATACCTGCCACCCAGACTGATGACCTGAGCTCAGTCTGTAGGATACAAATGGTAGAAGGAGAAAACCAATTCCCACAAGTTGTCCCCTGGCCTCCGCCTGGGCACCATGGCACACATGTGATCACTTATGCACACGCTAAATAAATAAATAAATAAATAAATAAGTAAATAAATAAGTAAATAGATAAATAAATACTGTTTAAAACATCACAGGAAGCCAGGTTTTGTGGGCTGGTGCCTATAATCCCAGCATTTGGAAGGCTGAGGCTAGAGGATTACCACAAGTTTGAAGCCAGGCTGGGCTATATTGAAAGTTCTAGACCAACCTGGTCTAGCTTAAAAAAACAAAACAAAACAAAACAGTGGGCAAGATGACTTAGAAAGTAAAAGTATTTACTCTACAAGCCTGACAAACGTGTGCTCCGTTACTTGAGCCCACATGAAAAGCTGGGTGTGATGTTACATCCCAGTATTCTTCCCCAGGAGATGGGAGGCAGAAACAGGAGAATTGCATAAAAGTTTACACACCAGCAAGCCTGGTGTATACAGCCCAGAAGAAATAATAAGAGAAACCCTGCCTCAGCAAAGTGTAAGGAGAAGATGCCTCAGACTTTTCCTCTGACCTCCATATGTATATTATGGCACACACCAACATGGTTCACACACACACACACACACACACACAAATAGTAATAATAGAAATTTTTAAAATCTACAGGATGAAAAAATAGAGCAGTTTGAGAAATCAACTGATATTTTCTTAAATTGTGTTTTCATTAAAATTAATAAATTAGATTGATAAATAAAATTTTCATTAAAATTAATAGTTTATTAACAGAATTTTGCAAAAGCTAAAGCCTATAGAAAATTCTCTAATTTTTTTTTTTGTCTTTTTGAGACAGGGTCTCCCTGTCGCACCAGCTGGACTGGAACTCACTATGTAGACCAGGCTGTCCTGGAACTCACAGAGATCTGCCTGCTTCTGCCCCCTGAGTGCTGGGACTAAAGGCATACGATACGCCACCACACCTGGCTTAAAATTCTCTATTTTTTATACAACTGAAAACAATTTCATGTCATCAAAGCTTATTTAAGAAATTAAAAGTAGGGCTGGAGAGATGGCTTAGTGGTTAAAACACAGCTGTTCTTGCAGAAGACCCAGGTTTTAATCCCAGCACCCACATGGTGGCTAACAACCATCTGTAACTCCAGTTCTAGGGGATCTGATGGCCTTTTCTGTCCTCCTTGGGCACTGCATGATATGGGTGGATTTACATACATGCAGGCAATACATTCACACACATAAAAAATTAAAAAAGAAATTAAAAGCTTACATTTTTAAAGTCTTGTGCTTTTTTGAATTCTAAAGTGAATAACTAGTACTTAGTCTAATTTTTATTTTTAAAATACATTAAAATACATTAAAAATTAGTTTTACCTGCACATAGTTAAAAAATTTCAAATAGATCTACAAAAATCAAATCCAGAGACCTCTTTTGCTCCATCATTCCCTGTTGCCTGGAGGCAAGCACTTTTAAAATGTTTTAGGCCATTCTTAAATACCACTGTATTTGTTCATTTTTCAATTTCAGGTGTGTATTATTGACTTAGGAAGTGAATAGAGTCAGAGTAGGACTCTGAAGCGAGAGGACTCGGCCTTTTCACCTCCTGTCACTTTTGCTTTCTGTTCTTTATAGTTTTCTCTGACTTTTATTAGCTCAGGATTGTCATGAAAAGACACAGGATTTATTGAAATGCACTGCAAGAAGATGCAGTGGGCATCCCAGATACAGGGTCAGACAGCTGATGGGATGGAAGATTTTGTAGTAGCAGAGGGAGAAGTACTATTTGTGTGGGCTCTATATCTGAGCCTCTCACTATCTTTGTATTGTTTATTTTTTTGGTCTTTTTGAGACAAGAGTCTCCCTGTTCTCTAGCTGGCCTAGAACTCACTATGTAGACCAGGCTGGCCTTGAACTCACAGAGATCCGCCTACCTCTGCCTCCCAAATGCTGGGATTAAAGGGGTGCACCACCATGCCCGGCCTACCTCTCACTATTTTAAGTAATGTATTTTACAGTTCGGATTATCTTCCTTGGTACTGGCCATTTGGATAGCACCCCAGGAGTCATTAGAACTTAGGCTCTAAATATTTTTGTAAGACATCATGGGCCCCCAGGGGATTAGGTTCCCAGAAGGATTGAAAGTGTGGGAATTTTGCTTCTGTTTTGGCTTTAAGTAGTCAGTGTTTCCAATTACTATGATTATGCTAATGTGCACACATCTGGTATGCACTTACTGTGATTACTAATGTTTTCTATTCTACATTTTGTCTTCTCCATGGTTGATAATTGTATTGTTTGTTCTGGGTGCACACTGTTGTTTTAGTGGAGTTAAATATGGTGTTGGGTGCACTTTCTTTAAGCAGAAGTTCATCATCATTTTCAGTGGGAGAAATCATTAAAGAAGTTACCACGTAGAAGTTTTTGAATTCAGTTTTAGTTTCTTAGTCAACTTTTCATCTATGTGAGCAATGTTTTAAATATTCTTTGCTTGTCACTTATGATGGGCAGGTTATTTGTGGTTGTAAGTCTCTAGCTCACTCGTTCATTTATTGTTTGTTGAGGGACTTCAGTGTGTATCACTATATTAAAAAAAAAAAGTAAAGTTGGATGTGGTGCCTCATGCCTTTAATCCCAGCACTCAGGAGGCAGAGGCAGGCAGATCTCTGTGAGATCAAGACCAGCCTGATCAATATAGGAAGTTCCAGGCCAGTTAGGTACAGGGAGATCTTGTCTCAAACCACCCCCCAAAGTTTTTTAAGTTTATTAATTTATTTGTGTACATGTACTCACATGTGCACATGTGGAAATCAGAGGACAACTTGTGGGAGTCAGTTCTCTTCTTCTACCATATTGGTTCCAGGGATTGGACTGATGTCATCAGGCTTGATAGTAAGCCTTTACCTTCTGAGCCATCTTTCCAGTCCTCAGTCTACATCACTGAGTGTCTGCCATGCACAGGTCATGCCCCTTTTTCATTGACAAGTGTGATCTGGCACCTGACAGACAGTATTACTAAAACTTACTTGGCTTTTTTCTTTAAACCTTGAGGTACTATGCATTGTTCAGTTCGTTTATGTGCCGAGCTTCATTCATAGCAAGTAACATGGTGCATACTAAACCATGTGTTTTATTTCTTAGGATGCTTATTGGATAGCAATGAATAGTTCTCTCAAGTGTAATACTCTCAGTGACATCTTCCTGCTTTTCAAGAGTTCTGATTTCATCACTTTCGACTTCACTCAACCGTAAGTATGTCTTGTGAGTAGTTTTAGCACCTGTACAAATTTTCTATTGACAAATTTCTATGAGTTCTGGTATTATATTACAAATAAAAGTTGCATATGATAGCCGGGCGTGGTGGCGCATGCCTTTAATCCCAGCACTCGGGAGGCAGGGGCAGGAGAATCTCTGTGAGTTTGAGGCCAACCTGGTCTGCATAGTGAGTTTCAGGCTAGCTGGGACTACAGGGAGACCCTGTCTCAAAACCATGAAAACAAACAAACAAAAAAACCCAAACAAGCAACAAGTCTAGAAATTGATGGCTCAGGACCTTCCTGGTCTGGCTTAGCTCAGTGGCTGAAGAACCCAGGACCTTCATGACCCTTCCCCTCCACCTCCCCAGGCAACCAGTGTCTGGGCTCCTGTGTGTGTGTGTGTGTGTGTGTGTGTGTGCACACACACACACATATTTGCACTTTAAACAGTTTAGTAATTTTTTCCTATTATAAAACCCACATATATGTATCATAGAAAAACAAAGTTAGAAACTACTAATAAGCAAAAACAGGACAGTTTGGTGAGTTCCCCATAGTTGATTGTATAAACATCTAGATTTCTTTCAGTGCACAGATATAATGTAAATATACCTGTCTCTACCTATATACAGATTAATTTTTTTCACTACATTTGTGTGTGTGTGTGTGTGTGTGTGTATACGTGTGTACATGTGTCACAGGGTCCATGTGGAGATCAGAGGACAACTTGTGGGAGTCGGTTTTCTCCTTCTAGCAATTGGATCCCAGGGATCTAACTCAGGTTGTCAGGCCTGGCACAGGTGCCTCTACCTGCTGAGCCATCTCTCCAGCTCCCTCCTCTCCTCTTTTTTTTTAAAGCTTAGGAATTTTTAAAATGTGGGATCCCGTAGTTCATATTGCACTGTGGGCTGCATTGCAGGATATAGTGACAGCGTTGTCTTACCAGTACATAGTGGCATCTTTCTGCTTAAATTCATCTTTTTTTTTTCCCCTCAATGGTTTGCCATTGGGTAGTAGTACAAAGTGTGTTTGAACATTCCTTTATTCTTCTATAAAGTCCTGCAGTGAATATTCTCGAACTAAGTCTTTGTGTGCATCTCTAAGTTTTTCCCCTCAGGATAATTTCTGGATGTAGAATTACTGCTTCCTTCGTTTGCCAATCACTGCGTAGCTAAAGAACTTGACCTTGTGTTCCCCACATCACAGATGGGCAGCACATCCCCAGCCGCTGAGCTCTGGTGCTCCTTTGTGCTTCTTTGTTCTGCACCAGACAACAGCTACCCTAGACATCTCTTCAGACCCATCTTTTTTTTTTTTGGTCTTTTTGATACAGGATCTCCCTGTAGCCCTAGCTGGCCTGGATTTGCTATGGAGACCAGACAGGCCTCGAACTCCCAGAGATCCGCCTGCCTCTGCCTGGGATTAAAGGCATGCGCCACCATGCCCAGCCAGACCCATCTTTTTAAAAAATATTTCATTTATTATTTTTATTTTGTGTGTATGAGTATATTGCCTGCATGTTTGTGAGTGCACCCATGTCGTGCAATGCCGTGGAGGTCAGAAGGGGGCTTCAGATGCCCCTGCAGCTGGAGTTAAGGACAGTTCGTAGCTGAACTGAATTGTAACACATACTGAATCTGTTGCGTTTGCTGATTACATTATTTGCCCACATATAAGCATTCTTTGTGATTAAACTCACTGATTCACAGATTGCTTTCCTTAATTGTTTTATTGATTAATTGTCACTTCAGTAGGACAAAATATGGTGAAAACTTTTAACATTCAATTGACATTTAGAAGAAAAAGCTGAATGGGTTAAAAATTAAATGCATTCATGAAGAGCCCATGAGTAAGGACAAATAGATTTAACGAGACACCAGGGAATTTTATTTGTCTTAGCAATTTAAATTCAGCAGCATTCGTGTAATTTTTAGACATTTATCACAAAACTGGTATTACAGTAGTCTCCTTTATCAACAGGAGACATTCCCTAGATTCCAGTGGACACCTGCAACCACCACAGAGTACTGAACTCCTTGTATACTGCTCGTTTAAATACTTACATGCCCATGATAACTTATACCTTCTGACTTCACAGAACAACTTTTTGACTTCTTATTGGCATATCTAAATTGTTAGCACTTCGGGGTAATTATTAAATAAAAAGAAGGGTTGCTTGAACACAAGCATTGTAATACCATGGCAGTTGGACTGATAACTAAATCAGCCACTGCAGCGGTAACAGGTGGGTAGTGTATACGGAGAAGACATACTGCACAAAGGGTTGGGTACTAACCATGGTCAGGATGTAGCAAGACAGCACAAGATTTTATCACGTTATT